TTGGAATTTGTTATTTATATAAATAAAAACCATCTACGGGTAGTACTTACATGTTAGTCATATAATCACAAGAGTATATTATTTAGTGTAGAAGATAAAAATGAATGACATATACATTTCTAGTTTTTATTTTCTACTTCTTTTAGTGCCTCTCCATTACTGGAGGTTGGCCGTCAGTCTCTTGAAGCGTGTCTTGTCCCTGATGCAGCAACTCTTCCGCAGATTTTATTGTACTTTATTTCTCTTTAACTTATTATTATTTTTGGAAAAAGAGAAACAAATTCTTTGTTATTGTCCAACTTATATCTTACTGATGACCATTCAAACAAACATCTCTTTTAATTTATTCAATGATATGAAAATTTATGGCGTTACATACAGTTGAACAAAATATATCATGAATCTAATATGTAATTTATTCCAAAGATGATTTAAATTATTTAAAAAGTTTTTTTTAAATCATACTATGTCAAATATAAGTTTTTCTTTCATAATGCAAGAGCATAATAAGAGCTTATTATAAACATACATAATTTCCTATTATAATTCATAATAAAAGCATTTTATCGAAAATGCTGCAACACAAAGAGATATAATAGCAATGCCCGTTTATCCGAGGACAATAAAATCCGGGTATAGCGTTCATTGTCCGTGGAATGTGGAAAGATAATTGAAAATATTCGGATGAGTAAATACAAAAATAGGAACGGATAATGCATTGATTGAATTCAAAGAAATAAACTTGCGTTACTCCTCCAATGAAAGATTGCTTTAAACAAGGCATTAAGTGAAGATAAGCGAATACTGACTAACATACAGTATGTTAGTCAGTATTCGCTTATCTTCAAATATACACTTAAATCAAATACACATTTTAACGTATTCTGATGCATTCAATTACAACATTTTTAAAACTTCTCTATTTTCATAGTAACATTTTTTAAATATTGATTTTTCCGCAGAATATTAAGATAATTAAAAAAGAAATTTAAATTAGAGCTTCCTGACAATAAACTACTCAATTAAATTATTTATCAAATTAATTGGAATCGGCTTAACGTCTTATAATTTCGAACTTATTTGCTATTATTTTGAAGATACGTTTATTATATTTTGAGCTGCCTTAAGAAAATTAAGTAAACATTGTTAATAAGGGGAGGAACTTATTTCTAATTAATTTTTCCAAATGGATGAATCAGAAATTATGGCTTTATTTGCCGGGCCTTGGAAACATGTTTACCAAGCCCCTGTTCACCCTTAGTCATGGTCTCAAATTCTTATCTGTTTCGAGATATTTTGTTTCACATTAGTCTCCCTCTTAGGTCTAAGGCATTCCGGTTTCCACACGATGTTTTCTTTCACCGTATGAGCGAGTTTTAAATACGCACATTGAAAGAAGGTTCTCGGCTAATACTACACATTAAAAACATACAACAAACATATTGTTTTTGTAACGTCACCCTCAAATAACATGTATATGAAGTACATAATAGTGAAATGTCTCAATAGCCCTTCGCCACTTGAGACTTGACACTTTATACCCTCACGGCTCAGAAGTGAGTTTTTTTCCTATTAAAACCTGTGTTAGGTTAGCTTATATATTAATAGGTTATATATTAATATATTTGTATTTAAAAACATGTTACATAATTAGCTTATATTACAGTCGTATTGTATTCTGGTACCCATGACTGAAACACACGATAACATTCAGTTTTATGACACACAAGGGGTTTGACAAATTGATCTAATGACCAATCCTCCAATCCAAAAAATAAACAATATCACAAACAGATTAATTTAGCACCGGTGGATTGTACACCTACCGTTTTATTAATTTTCAACATTCCCCAACATTCTCGATTATTCACTATCCAACAGAAAAATATATTTTCAATTCAACAGTATTGACCTCACAAACTGTTCAGCTATTTAAAATTCATATATTGGAGAAGCAGATAATATTAACTGGTGCAATAAGATATAATTTGACTGCTTCGTACCTAGCAAATTATAATGTCCTAGTTAGTATAAGATCCCGCTATACAACGACCTTCACCGAGATGCTTATTTAATGAAACGTATTTTATATTAAATTTAATATGTCAATAAATATAATCCATATGGGTTGTCTAGCAAATTTCAGTCCAGAGTATGTTTAATTAATAATTAAAAAAAAATATTTTTTTAAACATTTCACCGGTATGATTATTAGATAAATTCTATACCAATCGAAAGTATGAAGCCCATAGAATATGCAAACTTTATGCTGCCCATTCTTTTCCGGTCACAACTATCGGGTTGCCTGGTATAAACAGGTAAATCTGTACTAGCATTTTGCAACGGTCTGTTTATTGAATGAAATTTAAATGAAATTAAAGATTATTTTATTCTGAACACGGTGGTATAGGGTTGTCTGCGAAAAATCAGTCCAGAATTGCGGTTGTCGAATTTTAAAAAGTAAAATATTGCTCCAAGTGAATGTGTGCGACTGAGAGGTCCCAACAGACCATCCCATGCGATAGAAGAGGACACAGCATAGCAGCTGTTTAAAGTCCGCCCACTTAAAGAATGAGAGTGCGCATGCTATTTGGGCTTGGAAAAGCAAAGGACAGCGATGGACTCGTATAATTATGCATCATTTTGGAGTAGTTTATTATTTAAATAGAGAAATAGTTATTGAATTTTTTTTAATCAATTAATTATTTATGTGTATATTTTTTATGTGACACTAAAGTATATATACATCTTTAGTAAAAAAGAAGGTTGTAGTGATTCATATATAATAATACCCTGATTAAAAATATTGATTGAAAAAAATTAAAAAATTTACCTACTACATGCAAATTATAAATCTATAAATGTAAACAGAGAAATTGAAATCAATTGAAACTATTGGAAAAAATTCAAAACCCATAAAAGTGAATTTTTTTTAATCAGGGTAATCTTGCAAATTTTATTTTTATTATAAGAAGACAAAATAAAAAAAGGATGCGTGTACTTATGTACGCGCGTAAGAAGTTAAACTTCTTTGGCTTTCTTTATTTTTTTTAAATATTAAATAATTAATAACAGATATTTAACGTAAATAATATTTAATATTTAGTATATTATTCAATTATTAATTAATATTAATAATTATTTATTATTTTATTATATTATTCATTCAATTTAATAACTACGTATGTTTCATAACCTGTTAACTAAGTAACAATAGGGCTTTGTGAAAAAGCATTCCTAAATTTATTTGAAAAAATAATTATAACTCCTTTATTTGTTTAAAAGGTAAATGTCATTATGGTCATTCAAAATTCTTAGCATAGCTGCTAACTTCACGCATATTCTATTTCTTTCTACTTGTAGATTGTCTTATTTCCATCTCGCTCGCGCACGCTCGGCGCCCATACTGATAATTTAGTGTCACGGTGCGCGCGCATCGTAAAATTTCACTCTCATCAATTTTTCATAACGCGCCTAAAGAAGTATAACCTCAAAAACAACAATTAAAAAATTACTTCTATTTATTGTAAAAAATTAAAAATACAATTTTTTTTAATTATTCAGAATCCGAGTCATAGGACATAAAACTACGATCTTCAACTTCTGAATCTTCTTCGTCATCACTTTCTGTTTCACTTTTTTCGACAATGTCTTTAAAGGTGTATGATCCCCAATGAATCCTACTGGTTTTAAATATTCATCTAAGAACCGTCCGCAGTTCTCAGGCTCAAATTTCACGCATATTGGATCCGTTGCATTAAGCCACATGGAATTTACGAAAATAAAATATAAAATATATATTTTAATATATATATATATATTATATTTTAATATAGAAATATAGAAGATGTATTAGCTAAGATAATTTTAAATCATAATAATTTTAGCAATATTTTACTTTTTAAAATTCGACAACCGCAATTCTGGACTGATTTTTCGCAGACAACCCTATACCACCGTGTTCAGAATAAAATAATCTTTAATTTCATTTAAATTTCATTCAATAAACAGACCGTTGCAAAATGCTAGTACAGATTTACCTGTTTATACCAGGCAACCCGATAGTTGTGACCGGAAAAGAATGGGCAGCATAAAGTTTGCATATTCTATGGGCTTCATACTTTCGATTGGTATAGAATTTATCTAATAATCATACCGGTGAAATGTTTAAAAAAATATTTTTTTTAATTATTAATTAAACATACTCTGGACTGAAATTTGCTAGACAACCCATATGGATTATATTTATTGACATATTAAATTTAATATAAAATACGTTTCATTAAATAAGCATCTCGGTGAAGGTCGTTGTATAGCGGGATCTTAGACCAAGTAGAATGTGAAAGTGGTCACAGGGCGGTCAGTATTGGAGTTGGTTTGGGTGGGAATAGCTCACACGGTTCTCTAATTTGCAGAGCATCTGGAGTGAGTCGACATACTCCTGTATTCTTTAGAGGTTAACAAAAAATGATCTTTATTAATATAGGTAAAATGCATAAAACAAATTTCAATAATATCACATAGAAAATAGATATTTCACAGATGGATTAGCATCCAGTATCAAAATATAAAAATGTCATTATGAATTTAAAGAATAATAAATTGGCTTTGAAAATTATTCGTTTATCTCAATAATTCGGTTATTATAATAATAAAATATCTTAAGATCCTAGGAATCTTCATTCTATCTGAATGAACATAATGTCATAAGATATGAAGAAAACCAAATCAAACTTCCATCATAGGAATTCTTTCTCATAAAAAATTCAGCAGCAACCATGACAGAATATGTACTTTGAGCGGGTAAAAACAATATGGAGGTTTCATATTCGTGTGCAATAAATCAGAAAGCTTATAACATCAGATACTTAGGGATGTATATGGCTCCAGAACCTATTTACTCAAGATAATGTTCAGTCTTATGTTATTTTTGTGTAAAATGATATTTCTTTGGCGGAGTGGCGTTTTACTTACATTTGAATATTATTGAGGAGATTCATATGTCTTACATTCAAAGATTGGATACCAAAAAGGATAGAAAGTATGCTCTTATGAATATACGTATGTATGTTTATGAAATGGGGCGTTCTACCCACTACTACCCCATTTTTCGTAGTAGCGTGATGTGATGTCTATATTATAAGTATGTTTGCGGCTTACCTAACATTTTTATTTTTAAGGAAAATGTGCTTACACAGCCCCACGCCACGAATATCGGTTTTGACGCCAGCCCCACAGCTGGGTCTACACTCAAAGCCCTTTGCTATTCAGAGGGGTAGAAACTCTACCCAATAAAACACCTAAGCCCTTCACAAGCCGACGACGCCGGTCCTCGAGGTTCGCCAAGGCATTCAACCCAAGGGACCTTGGGCTTCGACACAGGGCTTAACAAAGACCTGCGGTTCCGGGAAGCATTTCCCAGCACTAAACCACCGGCCAGTTTACACTCAACCCTCAGTAGCGCCCTTCTGCAGCATAACACACTTACAGAAGAAGACCATTGCACTCCAGATCTCCGCACTTCTGAACAAAGCCAACACAAGCCGATCCAGGTGACACATTCATCTATGTTTGTTCCGCAGATAACACCCATCCCCAGACAGTATCTGCGAAAGCCGAAAGGTACCCCTCCGTCTATTCACCCAGTATTTTAAGACTAAAAGGATTGCCCCCACAGTGGATGTGCCAGCACTAGAACGCAGCCTGGTTATCGGATCACCTCTCGAGAAGAATTTCTTTGGGTGACGCCCCCCGCCTCACATGTTTCGCTATTTTACCTCGCCTGTGTTGCCGTATAAGGGAGCGAGGAGGGATCGGTTAATCAATAGCTTGCCAAGTGTTCCTACTGTCCTCACAAGTCTCGAGAGATTCAAAATAGGGCTCAAAATTACAATCCAGAACTAGACCAAAATATTTCATTCTGGAGGCCACCAGAATCCTTACCCTTTCATCCATGAATTCTGCCTGTGAAGCCGCCCATTTTTGGGTCACGAAATAACAGATTCCGTTTTGTCAAGGGACAACTTACCTAACTTATAATTATATTTTATTATTAACACACAGCTATAAAATATTAAACCATAATAATCGCTCTCGTGATATTTCAGCTCTATTGAGACTGGACATTTACGAAAGAGTCCCTACAGTAGCACAACAGTATGCGAAATCAATACTTGCTCGTATACTGAAAGATATATTGTGAGGAAAGCAATATGTATAATCCAAAAACAGACGACATGTGTCAAACATAAAAGATCACCTCATCAGACTGTTCTATTCTGATCTGACTGTTCTGTTCTGATCTGACTGTTCGGCCAAGACCTAGTATGTATACTAGAAATAATTTGAAACGTTATACGCGTTACCTTTATATATTTATACTCCAACTACTAAGTAATTGAATACTACGCGAAAGGAATCAAATAATGAATGTTTGAGAGAATACAAGTTTATTTATGCTTTGATAAATAATACAAAAGTTCCAAGTTATAAAAAGCATATAAACAATGCAGTATAGTGGTTTTAGAGCGAAGACAAAGACTGACTACAATAGAAATGGATGCAAGCCTCTACCACACCCATATGTTTTAATTACTGTTTTAATTCAATCTTATACAATGTTATTATAATGGGAAATAAGATAGTATCGTATTGTATTAATTTTATTAGGATTTCTGTTTCAATAATATCTAGATTTGTTAATAAATATCAATCCATACTGAAGATTATAATCAATTAATTAAGGATATGATAATGTTGGTAGATACGTGACGTGTCATTATATCGGCAACATGTAAAATATAATAATAGTTCTGATTTGCATGAAATCCCTTGGAATAATCAAATCAATAAACATATTAATATTCTATAGCCTATGTTCTTGAGAAATAATGCAGGATTCTAATGGTGAGAGAACTATCCAAATCTGTCCGGTAGTTTTGGAGCTTATTTATTGCAAACAAACAATCAAATCTCAGTATAATATTAGTGTAGATACTATAGAAATAACAAAATTATAGAACCTTGATTTTAGTGATTTCCTGAGCAATTAACACAGTTTCGTGGTAGAAGAATTAGATTAAATTTCAAATTAAAGTAGTTAGCCATTAGTTTGTTCTTGCAAACATTGGTCCAACATGACCTATGTTTGCAAGAACCAACCTAATGGCTAACACAAGGCAAATGTTGTGAACATTCACTATTAGGTCTGATGCTAAAGTTTCCTAGAAAAGCGGTTCCGGTTACTAATGGCCTTCATTTTTCGGTTGTTAATAACGGCCGTCTTTACTTTTTAACATAATGCAAAAAAACATCATTTTCGCTCGTCCAAGTTACGTTTCCACTCATGGTATTAATTAAATATGGGCACCGCTACACGCGAAAAACGTTGAACTAATGTTTATCACCGCTATGGCGGCCGTCATGCAAATGACAGCACCACAATTTGACATTACGGTGACACTCAACGTTCTCTAGAAAACCTGTCCGATGTTATTTATAGACAACGTATGGGTGACGTCACCCAACGTTATATTCGGCCGTTGGATAACGGCACCGCTTTTCTAGGAAACCTAAGCTTAAGAAGTATATCGGGGCCAAAGATAATAATTATGTCTCAGCAATTCCCTTGCCTTGGCATATGCTCAGACTCGTTAGGTAGAATTCCTAGAGTGAATACCGAGAGCCCTTTAGAGAGTCTTGAAAGGCCTAAAACGCTTTTATGTGGTGTTGTGGGAATCTTTTTCAAGCGACAAAACTTTGTTTTATTGTAAAATTGTATTATGTATTACTTTGCTTAAATTGTATTATATTAGATATATATAATATATATTAGATATATATATATTATATATATATATTATATATTAGATATATATAATATATATATATATATATATATATATATATATATATATATATATATATAATATATATATATATATATATATATTATATATATATATTATATATTAGATATATATAATATATATTTTGTCACTTCAAAATATAGAAACGTTTGTAACACTTTATAATGGGCATGAGGGTAACGGAGACGAGTTTGAAGGGAATAATGCTCAATGTTAGGTTGAGGGGCATCTTTTTGGGATTTGCCGTGAGGGTCATGCAGGGGGTTGTCAAAAGAAATAGGTAGTAGTAGAGTAGTAATATAGTAATAGAAAGTAAACATTCGGGTTACCAATACATTTATGTAAGCTTTTTAACACCTCCGACGACTATATAGTCGGGGAATAATCTGGAAACATTTAAATTAAAAAAAAAAAAAAAAAAAAAAAAAACACTTTATAATGTTATCTTTTCTTTTCTGAAGCTTAAACTTTTGTACAGCTTAACACGTTCACTGCGTAACAGGCCGATATCGGCCTGCCGCGGTATTTCAGCTGGTGCGGACGAAGAAATATATGTCCCTCTCGCTGGTGCGTAACGATTATCTCAGGTGTTTGTAAAAATTCGACAGGGACAAATATATATTTCATCTTGCGGTCAAAATTGTAGGTGTTCCCCATCAAAACATAACGGCAGGCTTTTATCGACCTACCACGCACTGACGCTGCTGTGCATCCACTGAGAGTTAATCTATCTTAGTGCTGTTGGGTCTAGAAAGACCTGCCACGCACTGGCGGAAATATCATTGGGGGCGCATTTTGGCCCGCCGCCGCACCTGATGAAGAATTATGATTTTACTTGCCGCAGTGAACGTGTTAATACGTTTTAATGGTATGAACCTATAAACCATTAAATATAAAAATATCCTTACAAGTAAAATTTGATAACTAAAATATGTATTTGTTTTTAAAAATATAAATTCCACAATGTTAAGACTCACGCTATGCACTTGGTTAATACCGTTATATTGTCTTTTATTTACATAACCTTTACACATTTAAAGAAAAAACTTTTTCACCGGATTGAGATTATGTATTATTATAAATTTACAATTTCATACCGTTATTTGCAAATATGTGTTTTTTTTGGTACCCCTACATCCTAGCCTACCAGACACGCCAAAGGGCTAAGCGGCAGGGGAGTGGCGAAATCTACCCTTTCTTAAAAAGGGACATTATTATCTTAAAGGGTTGGCGTCTCCCGCCGGGTCCGGGCGACAACTACTCCGAAAATATCGTCATAATATTTATGGGCGAGTCGGGGCCCGCTACCCGGCGCTACCCGCGTTACCTTCTCGTGCTATTTTTGTGAATGACATATCTGACAATCTTGCCGCAGAATTTTTCCAGCTGCGATCTGTGCTCAAGCAACATGTCGGATATCCCATCCCGGGATACCCTCATGCCAATCTCGAGCTCCACCTGGCCCTGTCATAAGTCACACAGTGCAAATATGTGTAATTAAAATATCAAAATTCGTCCTAAGACCCGTAAAATATACATCACAAAATATCCAAAAACAGGCCCCCATAAAATCTAATGCCTTATTACAAAGCGAAAAACCTTAAAATTTCAGCTACAAAAGATCCCGTCCCCATTTTCTAAGTACGGCTTATATTTCTGGGTCAATTGGCGCGACGGGAGCGTGCAGAAACATACATACAAATACAGCGGCTATTAGCATAAGAGCTGCTGAAGTAGAACGATTCCTTCACAAGCGTTCTACCAAAGCTCAATTGCTACTTTCTCTTTGTTATGTTCAAATGTAGTTTAAGGTCACATCTAAACGCTTTCTTGTTTGAACAGTCAATGAATTAAAAAAGAAAACCAAGCAATTTTCGTGTCTTACAAAAATGTTTACAAATATAACAAAAATTTTGTTTTAAATAAAATATTAATGATATTATGATAATATGAAGTATGTGAAGTAATTTTCATGAAAAAATTATATATATATTAGCGTACTACCTAACTATGAAAAAAAATGCAGTTATCAGAGATTTCAATTGGAATTTTCGACTTGTTTAAAAATGTTTTTAACCCAACAGTCTATCATGGTGAGTATGTCCTTTAAATTAATTATGTTGACAAATTATTACGGATGTTGACGTCTCTTAATTACCGCGTTATATCTCATGCCGGTTATTTCTTTGATAATTAATATTCTCTCATAAAAAATCCATTTACTGAGTTCATAAATAGTCATTAATTTGTCTTCTAGAACATAGCTAACATAAAGTAACTTAGTTAAACTTTAATTTTATTAGAGGTATAGCCTATATTACTCCCATTAAGGAGATAGTGTAGATGTATATATATAACTATAAATATTAGCTCTTACACTAGAAACCTATCTTTTGCGGCATATTCACACCCATTGTTCTTGTGCCGAACCGGGATAATCCCGATATGGGCTCTAACAATATTGTCTATAAAGTCGTAAATAGAACAGAGTAGTGCTGCAACCCAGAAGATAACAGATGAGTTTTGACTGGGTAAACACTACGAATGCCATCATGCCTTCGTGTATAACAATAGTAATGCAATCACTGAATAAACCCTCAAAGACTCTTGTAAGATATACATAAAATCTTCTATGGACAGTGACTAAATTAATAACAAAAATAAATCATACAAATTCTTTAGAACCAATTTCGTGAAATTGACTCGTTTGGAGAACGTTGTAACTTTATCTTGTTTGAGTAATGATGTAAAGATTTTATTTTTTATTTTAGTATAAAATAATGTAA